TATTTGTTGTATTGTATTTATTTTGAGTGCACACCACGACAAAGTGCACGTCAGCTACCTAGCCGCTTGTTTCAGACTTTGGTGAAGACTTTGGAGGAGTAGATCTCAATTTTTGTTCAACCAGCAAGCCAGGTCCCAATGCTATCTAACGAACACTATTTGAGGTATTTAATGAATGAGCTGAAAGGATCGAGTGACAGCTCTGCTAAAGATATTTGGCAGCCCCCGAAAACAAATGTTAGTCGATTTCCGAATTTCAACCTTGAGGACAAGGTTTTTTTGAAGGGGGGTAGAATTGATATGAAGCAAAATCTGGGCTTGGAAGAAGAGGGGCAGAAGCCCCCCCGTGGGTTTACTGAAGGCGGGACGGGTTTGAGCCCACCTCTGTGGGCTGGTTGTGGGTTGTTTAGTTAATATTTATTATTCCTTTTATTTTGTTTCCTAATTTATTTTGTTTCCTAGTATGATTTAATTAGGACTTCTATTCTTATTAGAATTAGAAGTTTCCTATTTCTATTTAGTTTCCTAGAATGGATTAATTAGGACTTCTATTAGAACTAGAGGTCTCCTATTCTATTTAGTTTGCTATTATGATATAATTAGGATTCCTATTCTTATTAGACTTAGGATGTTTTCTTTTGAACTGAAATTTGCTGGTTTGGTCTGGTCTGAACTGGTCTGGTCTGGTCTGGTCTGGTAAATGTCTGGTCTCTGTATATTTTATAACTACGAAAGTTTGGTCTGGTGTGATCTGATCAGGTCTGGTCTGGTCTGGAACTGAAAACAGTCCAAAAGAAAACATCCTTAGAGGGTTATTTATACCCCTTGTATGCTTCATTCTTGATCATCTTGGATTAAAATTGGTTTTAGTCTTTTGGCTCTGGAGAACGGTATTTTTATCGTTGATTATATGGGCAATTGTTTACCCGTTGATTTTTATTTTTTCAGTTCACAACATGATGTCATGTCCTTTTCTATTTTTAATGATTTATAAAATTAGATCAATTGGAGCAGATTTTTAGATACCATGCCTTATAGTTTTTTTCTTTGGAGCAGATTTTTTGTTGAGATTGGAGCTGATTCTTTTGTGTATTGTTGTGTATAGAAACTTTACTAAGTTGCATAAAAAAATTTGACTACACAAATCAACAAATGAGACTTAGAGGGATATAAGTTTTTTTTTTGAACTAGGATATCAGTTGTTTTTTAGTGCAACATATAAATTACTCCGTATAATCTTTGGACTTTGTCCAGCCACCTCTATTTGTGTTAATTTAAGTTGATCATGTGATTACCAAGATTTCTTTAGTGATGTAAAAGTAAAACTGTTTCATACTTCCATATCCGATTTGATATCAATTAAAGTGCTGAATTGGAAAAACTTGATTATTTAACTTCTCAATCTTTTTTAATTAAATTATAGCTACCTGGTTGAAATCAATCTCTGTCCACTTTGAATGACCTCAAATGGAAAATACACAATTTGCTAATAATCTTTTTCATAAGTACGTCTATTTTCTACTCATGTTTTGACTTTCAGGGAAAATGATCTTAGAGAGGCGCTATTCAGACTTTGCGGTTAGATGTTGAGGCTACTCTAAATGTGGTAGTAAGAAGACGAATGAGTTCATTTCTGCCTAAAGGTACAAATGAGTTCATTTATGTACCATTGAATTTCATTCAGCCACTTCCAATATAATGAAGTGTTTTCCTTTGCTTAAAAATAGTACTTTTCACATTTTAAGTTTTAAAAAGTTAGAAATTATTTTTGTGAATGCTTTAACTTAAACTAAGCATTTTAAAGGTAAAGTCTTGATCCAATTCAACAATTTTGCATTGTTCATTGAATAGACCTGGGGTGTACAATCTTTTGATATTGAAATTCAAACCTATTAACATACTATACTAAATTAAAGTAGCTGTACCTAAACAATTTTTCTTGGTTCTTTTGATTATGCTGAACTTTTATCTTAAAGCACAATCTAATTGAATCAATTGATTATTAAATATTTAATAAAATGTTAAAACTTGACAAAGAACTACCTGAATCAAATTGTGCTTTCATTTAATGAAAATTCTTTCATTAAATTCTCCTTTGGATCCTACATAATTGCACTACTTTGTGTACGAGGCTTTTTACGGCTTAGTGCTTTAACCGAATGATCCACATTAATAAAGATCGACGGCTCTCCGTTCGTATATGGTACACCCGCGTGTACGGGTGGGAACCGTACATCCGGGTCTTTTTTTAATTTAATTGAAGCTTAATCCCAATTTAATGAATCTGATGAAGGCCCACATAAAAAAGGTCCAATTAATTAAGAAAGACAGCCCATTCAACTAATACAGCCTAATTTTTTTTGGTGACGTTTTTGTAATTTAAGCGAAAATTCATGGCTTTCGTGAAATGAGTAATAATGTACACTTAGTGAGCATCTGATCCATTGTATTGAGTATTATGAGGCTAACAATGAGTATCACGGTCTCTAATTCATGACTTTTAAATTTTTTTTCTTTTTTGTTTTTGTTTTTTCTCTTATAAAACTTATTAAATTATATTTATAATTCACTCCTATTAATTTCAATATGCGAGTTTAACGTAATATGATACTTTTGAAATATGTATTGATATGACATTTTAAAAATGAGCATAATATCAGTACTAAATGAGCATACATAACTTACAAAGTGCACATTGATATAAAAATTCTAATGTTTGTTAGTTGAGCATCACAACATTTTAATTGAGCATCAAACATCCGCTATTGAGATGAAAACCATGGTTTCTGCTGAATGAGCATTAATGAACTTTTAACGAGCACCAGACCTATTATGTTGAGTATTAGGAGTCTAAATTTCAGAATCGTGATCTCTGCTTCGTAACTTCTAATTCACTTTCTTTTTGTTATTTTTTCTTTTATAAAAACTTATTTAATTATATTTATAATCAACTATTATAAATTTCAATATTTGAATATAATGTAAAATAGTACTTTAAAAAGTGCATTGATATGACACTTAGGAAATGAGCATAAGATCAGTGCTAGATGAGCATAAGTAACTTACAAAATGCTCATTGATATGAAAATCATAAGGTTTGTTAGTTTGACATAACAACATTTCCATTGAGTATTGTTGAGATATATTATCCCGGTCCGTTACTCTTCAAGAGCCCAAGACTTTACGTAGTACGGAGCCCAGTCTGTGAGGCCCGTTTTAGCCTATCAGGCATGTTTCGGCCCTTTGGGCCCATTTTGGGCTTACTTGGCCCATTAGGGTAGACTTATTCCCTACTCCCTTTCAACAAGTATCAAACATCATCTATTAAGATGAAAATCAGAGTTTCTATTAAATGAGCATTAATAAACCTTGAATGTGCATCACACATATTATGAGCATTAAAACACATTCAATGAGCATTAGACTTATTCAATTGAGTAATGTGAATCTAATGTCATATGCAACTTTCAAAATTTGCATGAATATGACATTTTAAAAATGAGCATAATATGAATACAAATTGAACAAACTTAACTTACAAAATGAGTATTGATATAAAAATCATAAGTTTTTTAGTTGAACTTCAAGACAAGTTTATTGAGTATCAAGCATTCTATATTGAGTATTAAAAACATGAATTGAGTATCTGTCTGTGCTCCTATATCCATAATCAACTCCTACATGAATCTAAAAAATAAGTTGAAACATTTAATAATACGTATATAATTCATTTTCACAACAATTGAATATATAACATTAAAGTAGAAAGTTACTAAAAAAGGAAACCAAACAAACAAAAACAAAAAAGAAGATAAAGTCAATAAACAAAAGATAAGAATTGAAGCAGCGGGAAGTAATAACTCAATAGGCTAAGCATCGAGAGCGCTTTTTCTCCCTAGGGTTGCCGACGGCCGCCTAGGGTAGTCTTTTGTTTTCCGGCGGTGCCTTCCAATGTATGGCGTCCGGTGTTTTTCCGGCGGTGCTTCCAAGGTACGGCGTCCGGCGTTCTTCCTTTGGTGTAGCAGGTTCCTTTGTCGCGACTCTTGGCCGCAGGGCTTGGGCAATGGGCATCTTCTCTAGGGTCGAGAAAGAGGGGTGAGAAAAGACGGCCTATTGTGGCGCTTGGGTCCGGCGTTGTCCCTCTCCGTAGGGCTTGGACATTGAGATCGAAGGAGGACGATCTAATGTTCTTTCTTCTCGTAGGAGAAGTAGTTCTGTGTGAACATAGTAAAAACCTTGCCCGGAGAAAAACTCAATGGTAATGTTGTACACCTATTTTTAGTCTAATATTTCAAATAACTGAAAACACTAATCCAAACACATTATAAGCCTAAAAAGTGTTTCTCAGTAGGCCACTATTCCAGAAATAAAGGTTTACTATGAACAAATAATAAGCCATCAAAAGGTTGTTTATAAGCAGGCCTCTATTCCAGAAATGTAAAAGCAATTCAAAATGCTTTTTGAATTGTGTTTGATTTAGCATTCAAATATAGGCTTATATAAATTGACATTAGTTATGTTATTGAATTGTGTTTGATTTAGCATTCTCAGTTTTCATATACCAAGTATGATTTTTTTAATTAGTTCGTTCTTATAGTCGTCCCCCCCAAAATTTATGCAAAAAATTCTTTATAAAAAAGACTACACTCTCCAACCAAGTCCTTCATGCTTAGTTTCGGTGTTTACAATAGAAAAAATGTTCTTTGTGCATATATTAAGTGTAGTGTTGGACCCATTTCAGTCCGCCCGACCCGGGAACCGGCCCGGCCCATTACTGTGCGGGCCCGGCCCAACCCGGTGTACTGGTTTTGGTTCCGGGCCTAGGCCCGGTCCCGGGGGTTAGAGTGGGGCGATCCCGGTTCACCCCATTCTTTGGAACCAACCCGGGCGGGCCCAGGCCTAATTCGGGCCCCTTTTTTATTTTTTCATTGTTTTGGGCTTTTCCTGAGTTGGGCTTGGTGTTTTGGGGGGGGGGGGGGGGGTTGGGGGGGTCGGGGGTTAATAAGAAAAGAAAAAAACAACATGGACCCGACCCGGACCCGGTGGTAACCCGGGCCGGTCCCGGGTCTTCTACCAAAAATCAAAAGCCCCGTTGGGCCTAGGTCCGACCCGGACCCGAGTCCATGACTAATTAAGTGTGAATAAACCCATAGAAGTCAATATGCACTAAAAAGTGCACTTTTTAAAATCAAGGGTTTGATTTTTGTGTTCGCGTTTTCTTGCAAATGAAGTTGACTTATAAATTCAAAAAATTATTTCACTTTATCTAATTTCTCCTTGAGTTATAAATACAAATCAATTTTCTTTTTTTTTCGAGATTAGGCTGTTTGAATTCTGTCCAGCCTTTTATGAATTCTTAGGGGGGCATACTCATTATATTGAAATAATTACATGAATATGACCAAAATAAAAATGGTTTACAAAAATATGATTAGTTACTAGAGTAGTAATGAAATCATAGTAATTAATGTTCAAGTTTTGAACTTAAGTTACTACAACACCACCTTATAGTAATGAATAGTTATATTTATGTAAATAAGTTTTATTTTAGTAATATTCTTGTAAAAAACCCCATTATATTTAGGAATAGAGGCCTGCTTACAATTGAAATTTTAGTCCTATAGCCAGTTTGGAACTTTTTCATCCTTTCATGTTTAATGTTCAGTTTTTCATTTCTTGAAAATATCACAATACTTTTTCTTTTTGTAATATCACATTACTAAATGTCCGAAACTTTTCATCTTTTACATTCAGCATTCAAAAGTGTGGTTAGCCACCACACTTTTGCTTATTGAATTAATGTTGAATTTTCCTTCATTAGCGTTTTATGGCAAAAAAATGAAGTTGAATAATAAACAATTGAAGAGAATAATGCCAAAAAAATGTCAGATTAACAGTAGTGTCGTATCAAAGTGTCTTAAAAGCTATCAAATTTGTAGATAAGTCGGTGTCAAGAGTGTTTTTTGAATTACTTGAATTGCTCAATTCAATTTATGAGTACTCGAGGACTTTTTAATCCTTCATTTCTCTATATTTATCGCTTCTTTGTAAATTTCTATTCAGCATTCATTTCTGACAGAGATAATCTAATATGGATTTGTTATGACATTGATAGGAAAAACATCATAAAACAATTCTACCGCTTCAGTATAAGATGATTTTGCTGAGATAGTCAAATGTCATCTCTAATTTCAACCATGTTTATTTCATCTGCATCGACCCAGCTTTGCGAGCACAGATCCTTGGGTGCCCAAGTAGCAGGAGGTACTCTCCAATTCTTTGTTTCTCTGTTTCTCTATTCTCTGTGAATACATCTCCAGTCTAGCATTCATTGATTGAGTGGATGTTTACGAAAAAACTGATTTTTGTTCTTAAAGTGGAATAGGTAAAACTGTTTTCCATTCCTTCAAATGCATCTTTTTTGCTTTGTTTTTACAACCTTTTTTTTCCTGCCTTTTTTATCCATGTGTTTAAAGGAAAGGAGAAGATATATTGAATGAGTGTATGTGACAAAGAAAGGAGAAGATATATTCAATGAGTGTATGTGACAAAGTAGCCATACTTTTCGCTCGTGTGAAGCATTTTTATCTTTGTCACTAAAAAGAATCATAATCGGTCTACAGCCTCTCTCCATCAATCTCTCCTATGTATGTGACGGGCATATCATTACAAATTTGAGTGTCGGATTCAATCATTCAATGGTAATTCATATTGTTATTATTTCCTCACATTAATTATTTATGATTTACCATCGCTGTGTTTTTAAAATATTACATCATCGAACTTTGATGCACTTTTAATTTTGAACTTTCTTTACTTTTCAGCTTTGAACGTAACTGAAACACATTACTCGAGGCAGAACAGGTAATGCATATATTTGAATTAAGAAATGAAAGTCCAGAGTCCTGCATTTTACAGTCTGTAGAAGGATCCGAACTGTGACGGCGATCAGCGCGAACATCACTTCCGATTTCCGAAGGAGCTGGACTTTCAGCGACAACCTCACCCACGAACAAAGGAGGACGCTGGTGCCGGTCATCGAAGACAAACTCAGCCCTGACATCAAAGGTAACCCCAGCCTTCTACGCTCATATTTACTAGCTAGCTAGCTAGATATGTTACGCATAATCATATCGTAGAGAAGCATAGTCGTGGGAGGGGTCTTGGTAGAGCTATGAGATCACGTACCTTATAATAGTAGGAAAATTGAAGGAAAATAAAATGATAAACCTGCATTTCTGTACGTCTCAAGTAGGCCAAATTACCAAATTGATAAAAAAAAAAAAAAAAAAAAAAAAAAGAGGGCTGTTGGTAATTTGGTAATTTGGCCTACTGGAGACGGAAGTGCAGGTTTATCATTTTATTTTGGGAAAATGTACATATATACCTCTATAGTATAGGTGCATGAACAAATATACTCTTGTTCTATTTTTCGGAACAAATATACCCCTGAACTTTGAAAAAGGTGCAAAAATATCCCTCATGTTCTTATAAATTAGCAAATTAATTCTTATTGACTTTAAATTAATAAAATTAATTTCAAAAAACACCAATAAATTAAAAATTCGAAATTAAAATATAAAAAAATTAAAAAATGTAATTGTGTCCAATTCTCCCTTTTCGTTTTTGTATCACAATTAAATATTTTTAGTATATAAATTCACTATTTTGTAATTTTTGGGCTATTTATCATCATACAAAATATGTAATTTTATAGTGCAAAAAATGCAAAAATAATTTTTTTGCATTGCAACACATATGTTAGCACATTTTCGAAAGAATATTAAATATATAGTAATATTTTGAAATAATATTTTGTACTAGTACTAAAAATATTTAATTTTTATTTTTTTTATATTTTAATTTCGAATTTTTAATTTTTTTGGTGTTTTTGGAAATTTATTTTATTACTTTAAAGTTAATAGGGATTAATTTGCTCCTTTATAAAAACATAAGGGATATTTTTGCACCTTTTTCAAAGTCCAGGGGTATATTTGTTCTGAAAAATAGAAGATGAGTATATTTGTTCCTGCACCTATACTATAGGGGTATATATGTACCTTTTCTCTTTTATTTTCCTTCAATTTTCCTACTATTAAAAGGTATGTGATCTCATAGCTCTACCCAACCCCTCCCACGGCTATCCTTCTCTACGATATGATTATGCGTAACATATCTAGCTAGCTAGTAAATATGAGCGTAGAAGGTCGGAGGTTACCTTTGATGTCAGGGCTCAGTTTGTCTCCGGTGCCGGCGTCCTGCTTTGTTCGTGGGTGTGGTTGTCGCTGAAAGTCCAGCTCCTTTGGAAATCGGAAGTGATGTTCGTGTTGATCGCCGCTGCAGTTCGGATCCTTCTATAGTTTGTAGAATGCAAGACTCTGAACTTTCATCTAATTCAAATACATGCACAGAACGAAAGTCAAGGGAGTCAAAGAACTTACGAATGAGCTCCAATGGAGTTCTACCTTTTGTGAATCGACCGATGAGGGTGAAATGGAGATGTTCCGTGAGAATGGACGTACGGGCGATGGAATCTTGATGGCGATACAGCCCTTGTGTCGCCCAAATTGGAGCTTCATGTGTTCATCAATGGTTGGCCAAGCCTTAGGGGTAGCAACCATTGCTGCGTAGGATCTTCGTGGTGGCGGATTGTCCCCCTGTGGAGGGGGAGCTGCCATGGCGCCGCTGTCCTTTACTTCCGTCAAGAGTTATTTTCTTCCGTTGGAGCCTCTCTCTCTAGAAGACCGTTGTTCAACAAAAAGAAAAGTATGTTTAATTTTCCTCACAGTTATGCCCATTCTCCAAACAGATCTTGGATTTTCTGGACCAATGATAACACTGTTTCTATCATTCACGAGGGTTCCCAATCTTTGTCTATGATTATTACTAACATTGGGAATCCAATTCCTTTTTTGGTTTCAATTGTTCATGGCAGCAGTGATAGAATTCAAAGAACACAACTTTGGGACGAGCTTAGGCTTCTCATATCTTCTAATAGTAGTAGCCCTTGGATTGTTGCTGGAGATTTCAAAATGCTATTACTCACCTCAATGAGTATAGGGGTAACTCTAACCCTAACACTTAGTGGACTTTCAGTAACACTTAGATTTCAGTAACTCTATTATTGAATTCAATGATTTCATCAATGCCAATGCCTCAGTGGACTTTCATATTTAATACTACTTCCATTTTTTTAGTTGCAACTTGCAACATTGATGAATTTTATACTCCCTCCGTCCCAGAATTAACTTCGGTTTTGACTGGGCACAGAGATTAAGAAAGTGGGAAATGTGTGGTGGAGAGTTGTGCAGAGGAGAAAGAAATGTGTAAGAATGATTGTGAACCACAAATCCTTTGCTAAAAAGAGAAAGAGGAGATAAATTTGGGACGGACAAAAAAGGAAAGAATGAAGATAATTATGGGACGGAGGGAGTACCATTCGCATACTCTACTTAGACTACATTTTATTTATTAATGTATTATAAATTAAATATTGAAAAATGGTGTTCAATTCCTCTTATTTTAATTTTTACAAATCTATTTTTTTTATTTTTACTAATTGTGAATGAAATGTATTAACGGTCAAACTTGTGCGTTGCAACTAAAAAGGAACGGAGAAAGTATATTCATATTATAATTATATTTACATACGAGTACTTATTAGAAATAATTAGGGATAATTTAACGGTCAAACTTGTGCGGTGCAAAGTCTAAAAGTTTTGAAAATGAGGTGCAAAGTTCAATATCACCCAAAAAGTGGGGTGCAAACTCAAAATTCCCCTATTAAATATTACTTGCATTTAGTGCTGGACTCGGGCCGGTTCGGGCCCGGTTCGGGCCTGGGCCGGGCCTCGGGCCAGGAAAGGGGAGGCCCGAGCCCGAACCGCCGGTGGCCGGTTCCGGTCCCGGTTCCGGGCCAAGCCGGGCCGGGCCGAACCGGCCCAATTAATTTTTTTTTTTTTTTGTTCTCCTATTTAATCCCCTACCCCTCCCCCTCAACCCCAAACCATCCCAAACCACCTCAAATGGCCCAAAATACCTAATCCAACCTAAAACTTAAAAAAATTCCAAAAAAAAAAAAATTAAAATCCGGCCCGGACCGGGCCGGTTCACCAAAACCTGGGCCCGGGCCCGAACCGCCCAGCAGCCGGGCCGGGCCGAACCGGTGGACCCACCGGGCCCCGGGCCGGGCCGGGCCAAACAGTAACTGGGCCGGGCCGGTTCCGGGCCGGGCCATCCGGCCCGAGTCCAGCACTACTTGCATTCTTATAGTAGTCATATTTGAATATTAGTTGCATTGTAAGAGTAGTCACATTTTAATATTGACTACATTTTGATAGTTACAATTTAATACTAGCCACTTTATCATATTACATACATTGGCATTAGTCACACTATTTGCATTAGCCACATTATAAGATTAGTAACATTATCATGTAAATATAACTTGCATTTTGAGATAGTCAAATTTTAATATTTGTTACATTTTCATAGTTGCTACAACTTAATATTAGCCACAATACAGAGTATCATATTCCTTTCATTTGTATTAGCCACATTATACAAGAATTAGTCACTTTAAAATTTGATACACTTTTATAGTTATTACAATTTAATACACTTTAGAACAAAAGTCAATGCCATGCTTCGTTGACAAATGGATCATCAAAAATGGCTACCAGACGTAACGCTTTGTTTACAAATGCATATTACTTGCACTTTAATACTTGGGAAGTTGAGACGCATTTTGGAAGACTCGACAACAAGAAGTAGGGGTGGACTTGGGCCGGGCGGCCCGGAACCGGCCCAACCCGGGTGGAACCCCAAAAAATGAAAAAAAAAAATCAATTTAGCCCGGACCCGGGCCCGACCCGGCCGGTTCGCCAAATGTGAGACCCGCGCCGCCCCCCCCCCCCCCCCCTCCCCCGGGGCCTAGGCCCGACTCGTGGGCCCAGACCCGAGAACCGGGCCGGTCCCGCACAGTAGCGGGCCGGGTGGCCCGACCCGAGTCCACCACTAGCCCGAGACCAGCTGGATATAACTGGACCGGGACCGCAACCCGTAATTATCCGGGTCGGTTCCAGTCTTATTAAATGGGACCCAGGATTGGTACTGAATCTATCCCTAGGAGAACACCATTTCCAAGCAGTAAAGATGGTCACATATTCACATTTGAAAGATACAGTTACCAATTCAATAGGATTTAAAACATCACCAAATAGAACAAAAGTCAATGCCATGCTTCGTTTACAAATGGATCATCAAAGATGGCTATCGGTACGTAACGCTTCCAAAACTCAGCTCGATCAATATCACAGTTCATAAATCATAATTCACGTACAGAAATCCAATTCGACACTTTCAAAACTAACTACTTACTACGTAATAAATATAAATTGCACTAAAAGACCAACTCTAAAACATACAGACTGTAAAAGTAATAAAAAAAACTGTATCCTTCCCTGTCTTGACCTGCTTTACCTCACAAAGCTGTCTTTAGGGGTTCAAAAAACATGCAGTATTGATAACAAAGCAATAGCATATCTCAAATATACACAAAGTTGAATCGCATGGAAAGAAACCCTGATATCTTTGCATATTCAACCAAAACTCATCACTACTCAAGACACATATATCATCACCCATGAATTTTCGTAATCTGCAAGGCTTCTGGCATAGAAATCATGACAATGCTATCCGGTACTAATAAATTCTTGATAACGCTACCAACCAGTACTTGGTGATAAACTCATACCATTCTGAATATTGGATCAGATCGAGTAGGTAACCTATTCAACTGGGTGTTAACCCGAGAGCAAGTACTCACTGTGTTCTCAGCTCACTGATTAGATAACATAAGTATGAGTTAGTCTATTTAAAGTTTCTACACCCTAATAGAGAGCTAAAAGATGACTACCTATCAGATGAGAGGCTTGGTGGAAAAACTGGACAGCCAAAAACATTAAGCCATTGTTTGGTTCAAAGGAGGGGAGGGAAGGGGAGAGCCAAGGAGGATAGGGGAGGGAAGGAGATAGAATGATTTTGATAAACATTTATGTGTGGTGGGAGGAAAGGGGAGGAAAGTTTAAAAGAAATTTCCTAATTCGCCCTTGTTTTATAACTTGTTTTGCAAAGCTGGATAAATGTGATGAATCCAAATACTTTCTCCGTTCTTTTTAATTGCCCCTGACTATATTCTATTTATTACTCCCTCAGTCCCGTTTTATAAGATATCTTTACTATTCACTTGGTCAACACAAATCACTCTTAATCTCTTATTTTATATATCAAAAATTTATGAAATTTGAATTATTTTTTGCAGGTTTTGTAGCAGGTTTAATATAGTTTCTGAATATGTAATTTCTTTTTTCAAAAAATAATTTGGGTGCAAACAAGGATCCGTTTGCTTTATCGTTGGTCAAAAATCGTAAACCGAAAAGTATTTTATAATTCGGGACAGAGAGAGTAATATATTATGAATTATTTTTAACAAAATATTGTTAAATTCCTTTTTTTTTAACTTTTCAAAATATGAATTTTTTTTATTTTTAACTAATATGAAATTGTGCGTTGGCAAACTTGAAAAGTGGAACATTGGAACTAAAAGAGAATGAAGTATTATTAACTGAGTTCATAAATCATAATATTGAAAATTAAACGAAATACTTGACAGCCCTATGACTAATTATTTATATTTTATTGAATTTTTTTATTAAAAATTCTTCTTATAAATATAGAAAATATAATATTACTTTGATTATACATAGAGGTTAAAAGTATTGACAATAACCAATTTTGAATTATTTCAAACAACTGAATCACTGATTACATGTGCAAAAGAAGTAATCATATTTAAATTATGAAACAATTTCAGTTTTAATTATTAATGGGGTATTTTATAGTAAGTAATAATAGCCATTATAAGCGTTAAAAGGCATAAGAGGAGTGAGAGTGTGAGACGCAAGAGAAGAGATTGAGCTGCTTATATTTTGAGAGTTCTGAATAGAAGGCTCTTTTTGTCCACTCATGTATCCAATCTTCCGTAATTCTCATTGCCTCTGATTCTCTGAATACCCCAATTTCGGGTTATTTCGGGGCTTTGAAATGAGGGACACTAGGAAGTTTTAGAAGTCTTCCCCTCTTTATCTCTATTTCTTCCAACCAAACAAACATCAATCCCCTAATTTCTTTCCCTACCTCCCGAAATCCCCAACTAAACCCAGCCTTAGTGATGGAAAAATGGTAAAGGAGAACATTAATGTAGACATTCTAGGAAAACTTGCACGCATTCATTGGATGATGAATGACAAGCCTATATTTGTTGTCCCCTAGAGCATTACTCCTACGGATGCCCTTGATGAAGACAATTTTGGATGGGAAACCATCATATATGGAACTAAAAGTCAAACATAAAAGCAGTTCAACTGAAGGAGCGGTACTCGAGGGGCATTTTTGAAATAAAGTAATAGAGGTGGATGGTGAAGATTTTCTAGACTGGTGTATTTGGATGTGATGAGTGGTCTCTGTGTTGAGACTTTCAAGGCATGTAACTATGCATATTTGTCTATTTGAGTTGGTAAGTACCAAAATGCTGGTACATGCAGGGCCTCCCCAAACCGGAACTAGCCTTTTCCCACCTTCGCAAATATTAGAGCATTCTTTTGTTTTTCAGTCCAATTAGCATAAGAATATAATACATGGACCTATTTTTTGCACTCTAAGCTCAAACTAATCTGAATAATGAAAAGCAAATTTGAAAGGTGTCCTATGAAAACCGGAAATTCCACTAGCCTATTTCTTAAAGCAAATTTGAAAGGTGTCCTGGCTGCTATCCCGAGCACTGGTCTTTTTGAGTTGCGCGTAAGTGAGCAAATTACATAGAAAGACATCATCCTTTAGCCCAACAGGTTGTCTAGCCTCATTCTTCCTAAAATGCACAAAACATCAATGTTCATAAAAGCTAAAGCAGTTTGATAACACCGAGAGATGCAATTGATGCCCCATCTCTCTTCAACAAAAAATATGCTTTTCACTAAAAGTCTAAAAGTGGAGACCATAACCCAATTCACTCTCAGAAGTCCCTGTCAATCCACATTTCATAACCAATAAAAAGATTTCCATGTCTCTTCTTTTGCATTCTCTTTGACTGGTTGTCCTTGCAATCCATAAATTTTCAGTACAAAGCATTGAGAAATATCGTACGGATATTTAAATGGATACATGATACACCATTCGTCCAATAGTCTTGAGAGGTAAAAGACAACATTGGCACTTCAACACCACTCCACTTTTACTTTTATTTCAAACAAACTCTTTCATGGAGATGCCAAAAGTTCATACAAAAAGAAAATTAACGACAAATACTGGATATGTAGCAGTCACGTCTTTGAAATTCTGCAAGTTCCCTAAAAGCAGAAATTTACGAGGCATCCGTTGGCACTTCAACACCACTCCACATTTACTATTATTTCAAACAAGCTCTTTCATGGAGATGCCAAAAGTTTAGATAAAAAGAAAATTAACAACAAATACTGGATATGTAGCAGTCACGACTTTGAAATTCTGTAAGTTCCCTAAAAGCAGAAATTTACGAAGCATCCAAATCTCAGTACAATTGAACTACCAATCTCCTGGTGACGTCTCCATAAATAAGACCCGGTGTTCTATCATGCATGTCACCAAACCACATACAAGGCTCAGCATGCTAGATGTAATACTTCCAATCCATAACGGAGAATCCTTCAACTAAATAGTGCACTCCATGCAGCCTCTTTGCCCTTTCAGATCTGTATGGTAGAGAAATTGACATGTAACCATATTGCTCACTCCATTCCTCAGTGATGGCTCTTGTGAGGAAAATACAGAATATATGACTTCTAGGAACCACACTTCCAGAAGAGCTCAATTTGCTAATAGGATACCTTAGTTTTCACCAATTTGTTTATCTTTGTAGGGATGGTAAAGTATGAAGAGGGCGACCATAGCATACTTCCACATTCATAATTTATATCACTACCTAAGCAGTTTATTAAGTAAGGCTAGAAAGACAACTAGACAAATAGGACTTGCCTCAATAATAAGATCTTGAACTGCTACCGCCCATATAGCTTCCACCCCCCATTTCACGGTTAGAATAAAGTGACGAGTAAGAGCTGCCACCCATCTGATTTTAATAGATGGAAAAAGTAACCTTCAGTGTCAAGACATCAATTTCTAAAGATATTCTCCCTCCCCGTCAGCCCTCCCAAATAAAAGTCATGTTTCAAAAACTTTTCTTTGAAGCATTGTAAAATAACAAGGTTTCAACAGTGAATATTAATAGTCAAGTACAATTTCTTTAAAGCCACACTGAAAGAGAGATCAGTATACTCCAAACAGAACTTGTATAACTGTGAAACCTGATTGAGCTCACAAAAAATGGTTGTACATTACACAAACATGACTTTTTGGGACGACTGAAGTTATAGGCTTGAAAGAGGTAAATAAAGTAAAAGCCTACATCACTGCCATGAGGCATATAATCACCACCATAGCCTGAAGCATACATTCCACCCACATCACTACCACTATAGGATCCTGCAAAAACAAATCTCATCATAACCAAGTAGAATTTAAAAACATAAAAAATTAATGAACTAATATTTCACACGAGTTAAACAATGTTCACAACACACCTCTGTCATACCCCATACCCTGACGACCACTATAAAGTCCATGAGAATCTTGACTAGACATAGAACTTCTGCCCCCATATCCAATAGGAGGCCTTCCAGGTCTGCAGAAGTTTTGTGCAAAATAAATTAACCAAGTACTAGTACCAAAAAAAAGTTTTATATACTTAATTATTTCAGAGTGGCACATATGTATGTGTACCTGTCGCCATAGGAACCACCATATTGAGAAGCACTGCGTCCTGCATACTCATAGTCCAATCGTGCACGAGAACGGCGAACTCCTGCCTCAACATATCGAGGAGGAGGAACATCATCTTGCTAATGCATTAGAAGAAAAAACATTTCTTTGCATCAGTAAAATGAAGTGATATACAGAGAGAAGACCAATGCATCTCACAAATAATAATAATTATTATAAAGGCAAATGAAAACCAGACCATTGCAGTATATGAACGTTTAGAGCCAGATATAGAATCATATTCCCGAGCACGGCTTTCACGGTACACTGGAGGGGGTCTTTCAAACCTCTGCTCATAGCCATCATCAACATATGCTCTCCGTACGCCAGTCCTAGATGTTCCTCCTGGAAAATCATTATAGCCAGATCCATGGGGAGCATACTCGTCTCTATAGGATGAACGCCTGTCAGAATGCACTCTAGGAGCATAGTCTATTGCAGCTCTGCTTCCATAATCTCTCTTCGTACTACTTCTTGTATATGCATGAGCTGCATGATAATAAATCAATAATAAATGTAAATGTAAACATGCTGGGGGAGTAGTGAACACAACAGAAAAGTATACCAACCAGGCGGCCTTCTCTCATATGACCTGCTAGGCACATGAGCAACAGGTCTGCTCTTAGGAGGGACAGCAATGGCTGGTCTTCTATCTCTATAACCAGCAGATCTTTTATAATTGCGATCAACCAAAGGCGGTCCACGTGTACCAACTCTTGATGCACGAGTGGGGACATTAAGGGGCAACGAGCGTCCCCACGGAGCCCTGGGCACTCGTACTGGCCTGCGCCGAGGCCTCACCACATCTCCTCGAGAACCATATTTTCCCCTGCCCCTTGAAAGGGGTCTTGATAATCTGGCCCGAACTTTGACCTAAAAGGTGGGTGATCCTTTTAAGAAAGAAATATGTTTGGAAGAGACACAATGCAAGATATAACAAGGATTTAGATAACAAACCTTACTGTCTCCTTCACCCAGCATAGCATTATTGATGCATTTAGCACAAGTAACAGCATCATCATGTGAATCAAATGTCACAAATCCAAAATCCTTTCTCTTGGCAGATGGCATATTACGAGCAAGCTCAATCTTTTCTATCTTCCCATATTTTTTTAGAAGTTCAGTAACATGGGCCTCGTCCCAATGGGATGGAAGACCATCTATAAAGACCGTTTTAACCTGGATAAATAAATATCAGTTAGGGAGATTGTTGACTAATATTATCCCGCTACGTAACACAATATGATAAAATGTTGGCTACAAAAACGATAAATTTCTGAAGAAACAAAAAAAAAACATGCAGACCACTCTAGAGAGGAGAATTAACAAAGGAAACTATAAATAAAACAGAGCATTATATCCACTATAATGCTCATATTAGTTTTCCCAATTCATGTCTTTTTGGATGATTGAACTTTAAGTATCAACTAAATGTCTTTCCATTAATCCTTCAGCAGCAATATGCTGCATATACAGTGCTGGACAAAAAAACTTGTCTAAAGCAAATCCAAAGTGTGAAGGCCACTTCTAATCCAGAGCAGAATGTCCTCTGTTTAGGAGACGTCCCAACTACAAATGGAACAACTCCACCGTCTATGAATTCAATAGTGCAGACTGGAAGTATTTACCTGAGCCATTATTTCATCGCCTGGATCAATGAATGAATCTGCGAAGAAAACCTTGGCAGGTCTGTCAACTCCAAAGACAACATTTCTCTTCTGAAGACGCTTAAAAGCATCCATAGCATATTAGCATCTGAACGAGAAGAGAATTCCAAGAACGCAAAGCCGCGATTTGTTCCTACGATATTTGTGTCCTCCACTAGTGTCAAGTCATCAATATTCTCAACGCCATAGTGCTTCAACTTCTCATTCAACTGGAAGGGCAAAGTGAACATCAAAGTAACAGCTGTTAAGCAACAGCTTAAAATGATCTTATAACCTTATTCTTGATGATAACAATATAAAGCGACCTAGTCTACTTACAGCTTCCTTTGTTCATGTCTTGCATATGTTGCCTAAAAACAGAGTATCACTGTCTTGACTTGGAGTAACACCGCACTTTTTTCCATTAACCTGGAACTTTGGCTATCAGGACAATAATCTTGACAAAAACATCAAATCAGTTTTAGCTCGAGAACTACAGAATCAAGAAAATACCACAGGATTTTTTAGCTCTACACAAGCACGCTTGGCTTGTTCTACAGTTGCAAATCTCAGAAAAGCAAATCCCTTATTCTTCTTGGTCTGAGAGTTCATCATAAGCCTCACTTCAGTGATTTCACCAACTGGACTAAAGACCTTCTTCAGATCATCTTCAGTAGCATCCTTGTCTAAGCCACCTATAAAAATTTCAAACTCCTTACGCTTGCGTCTTTCTTTAACCACTTTGTGGTGTTCTTCCTCTTCGGCTGCATTAACCATCTCAGCATGTTCTTCATTTTCTTGTTCATCACCTTCTTCTACCTCAAGGTCCTCATTGACATCTTCAACCTCCTCCACCTCTTCAACCATATCACCTTCACCCTCTTCGCCACAAATAAAGTCCTCCTCGTTATCTTCTATCTCATCTCCCTCATCTTGTTCATCTTCTTGCTCACTTCCTCTCTCATCATAATCAGCACCAACATACTCTTCAGTTTCATATTCAGGATCATTATCCTCCAAGTCTAACCTTTCACATTTTTCATACTCTTCAACCGACTCTTTCGGTTCCAACTCCTCTGCCATTGAAAAATATATTCATCCAGGACAGTCAACATATTGAAATATACAAGTTCCTAACACCTTAGTGACCTACAGACTACATACTTTACCAAATGTCACCCGTAGAACTTTGTCATCTTTGAATCTTTTGGTCAATCAATTAAATTTTGCCCAATGATATATTTTTATAAGAAATGATTTATAAAATAAAAATTATATGGAAATGTTTTTTGTTGAAAATACTTTGGTAAGTAAAAAATTTATAACTTTCATATAATAATACTAATCAATCATTGGCCAAATATTTACCATCATTGACTTGAAAAGTCAAAGATGGTAAAGTTATAAGGGACGGAGATAGTATGTCTTAAAGTATTAAACCACGGTTTACAATGACTTTCAGAGATAGCAATATGGCTTCCACGTAGACCATAAGCATACAAAATAACTTTCAAAAGAACTGTTGTCACACATGAGGACGCATCTTCTTTACTCTTTCCTCGTGGTAGTTAATGGTTGTATTATTCAGGGGACCTTACACATACTAATAACGTACTTTCCTCAAGTATGAAAAATGCCTTGAGAGAGATTCAAGAAACATGGAAAAAAGTTGTGCTACAATTAATGATTCAACATCTCACTACGAAGAGTGTAATCCGTACACGCAGAGGCAGTGTTTTAAGTATAATCTGACTAAAATGCAAAAATTAAATAAAGATCAAATCTTTCAGCCTTTCACCAGATTACTAATACTACTATAGACAAATAGCTCATATACCCCAAAAAAAACTAAAAGATTGCCACAGAATAAGTTTGAACGCAATAATTATCATAAAGAGACATACAGCAAGAACTCACAAACATAAACCATACAATAATGACATGTCACTTACTCTTAGTAGGGGGGCATCTTTTTGCCTCAGATTCATGTTCCTCCTCTGGCTCATCTTCAGTCCTAGCAGGAGATAACTGCTGCTCACTAGCATTACCTTTTTCCTCGACCATGGCATCCTCTTTGAGATCCACAGTGGTTTTGTCATCCACTTCTTTTACCTGGTCCGCCTTCAACGGTTCATCATGGGGCTTGGGCTGGGCTTTGTTTGCAGCTCGTGTGAGACGAGACTTTCTGTTCATTCCGGGGCCTGCTTGCAGCTTCTTTGACTTCGGAGGCATTGGTGTCTTCTTACCTAAAATTAATAATCAAAGTCTTTATATATATATATATATATATATATACACACACACACACACACATCGAAATCTCTAATCTTGATCTATTCACAGCTGATAATATATAAAAAGATATGTACGAACAAGCAAAACAAGATGCTATAAAAATAAGAAGACAGTTAGTAATAATCAAGCAACCTCGGGATACTTGACCAACGGCGTGGTGTAGACGGCGACCGACCTAAGGGAAAGAGGGGCTGGAAACGGAGAGAGCAATATAGCTTCCGACCGTCTTGCTGAGAGATGAGCGGTAGAGAGAATTGCTGGATCGGATGAATTGGGGGGTGCTCATGAATTGGTACACGATCGATTAGGTTATTCCAGATTTGGGCATTTGATTTTCAAATTGGACCGGACCAAACACTGGGCCAATAACTTTAAATCATCTAGACCTTGTCTGATAGTATCACATTTGACTATAACTTACTCCCTCCGTTCTTTTTTATTACTCTCCTTAGGCTTTGTCACGGGTTTTAAGAGTAAACTAGTAGGGGTAGTGTAAAAAGGTGTAATGAGTAGTGGGTAAATGAAAAAGTAGGAAAGAGAAAGGGTAATGGTAATAAAAGTGGGGGTATAAAGGTATATTTAAAGTAAAAACTTTCCTTAAATGGAAAGGAGGACAGATAAAAAAAACGTCCCAAAAAGGAAAGAAGGACTAGTAATAAAGAACGGAGGGAGTATGAAATTTTGATCGAAGTGACTGAATCGATTGATTCTATTGATTTATGTAAAAATTAGTTTTCAAGTCCGTGCGATGCACGGGCAGTACGTAATTTAGCTAAATTTAAATTTGATTATTTTCAAAATCATATATAATGTGATGCAAAAGCAAAATGTAAACTCAAGGGTTGTATAATTTCGACTTAATAGACTTATGACAATTGACGACTTAATCATTCAGTCATTAAGTAATGTTTACTTACTACTTAATTGAAAATATGACTTAATCATTCAGTCAAAAAACTAACTTAATCCTTAAATTGGAGAATAACAGTTCTTCCCATTAAGACGTCTATTGAGACGTTTTTTCTGTCATTTTTTTTTCAAATTTTCAATTAATAAATGAATTTTTTCATTGACACTATAAATCAAGAATAATATGGAATTGTTTATTTTACACGATTCAGATTGTTTATTCAGCATACAAAATAAACAGCTTCAAATACAAATATCATTTAATCAGACCTAGACATGCATGTTAATCTAGACATGACATAATAGAAAAAAAAAAAACCTTTTAGTTTAATATAGAGCCCGTTTGATAAAACTGGAATTGATCGAATCAACTGGTTCTGCAGAAATTGATTAAGTTCTGACTCAATGGTAAGCATAATTAATTTTAAATTTTAATAGTGAGATGTTACATTTAACTCATAATTTCGTCATTTTGAAAATGTTAAAAAGTGTAGTTTTTAAAATTTCAACTCTTTTCTAAATTGGACAAATCTGAGCTATCTAAACTAATTTAAAAAAATTGAAGATGCCATGGAATCCAAACGTATTCCTTCGTTCATTCTCAATTCAAATGCTTGATCCATCCATGTAGAGCACATTTCTAGCGCAGATTATATGGTACACCCGGGTGTACAGGTACACCCGGTATTTTTGTAATATATCCCAACTTCAAGCCTTTCTCATCTTTCTCCTGCTGAGTCATCTCTTTTTTTGCCGTCGATCGTTTTTCACTTTCGCCGTCACCTCTTTTCTTTCTTTTATTCCGCAGCCAGCCATCTCTTTTCTTCCTTTTCTTCGGCCGCAATCCTCCAGTAGTCGTTCCTTACGTTTATAGTTTTGATTTGATAGTTACGTTTTTTGTTTGGACCCTTTTAGTTTTGATAGTTACGTTTTTACTTTTGTCTTTTTTTCATGTTTTTCTTTATTTTATTTTACCTTTAGCTACTTGGTCTTTGTTTTGTTTAATTTTGTCTTTTTTTCTTTACTTTTTTTCCTTTCTTTATGCATGTGTTGTTTACTTCTTTCTTTTTCTTTATATATTAATACTGAGCATATTAGAAATGAGCTTTACTTTAAACTCAAATGAGTAAAACGCCTAAAAAATGAATATACAAAAATGAGATTTTGAATTTTTTGATACTCGTTTTGTAAATTATGTATGTTCATTTAGTAACTCCATTATGCTCATTTTAAAAATGTTTTTAGCAATGCATATTTCAAAAGTCTCTATTACATTAAATTTATATATGGGTTGATTATAGACACGAGATCACAAATCATGATATTACAATCACAAATTGTAATACTCAATAACAGAGGTTTGATGCTCACTGAAAATGTATTGATGTTCAACGAACAAAACATTCAATTTTCATATCAATGTTCATCATGTAAGTTACGTATGCTCATTTGTATGAGTCTGATGCTCATTAAATATATTTAAATGAGCATATTAGAAAATTTAAATGAACTTTTGAATTTTTCTATGCTCATTTTATAATATATGTATACTCATTCAAGAGTAGTGTTATTCCCATTTTAAAATGTCATGTCAATAGTTATGAACTAATACTCAACAGAATAGGCATCATACTCATTAAAAGTACATTAATGCTCATTTAACAGAAACCATTATTTTCATCGTAATAGAGGAAGTTTGATGTTCAATGAAAATATCGTGATGTTCAACTAACAAACCAACTAACAAATTCATTAATGTTCATTTTTCTAAGTTACGTATGCTCATCTAGTACTGATCTTATGCTCATATATATTGGACTCCGAATACTCAACATAATTGGTCTGATGCTCATTACAAGTTCATTAATGCTCATTCACAAGAAATTGTGATTTTCATCTCAATAGCGGAGGTTTGATATTCAATAAAATGTTGTGATGTTCAACAATGCATTTTTTAAAGTACTATTTAATAATCATATCAATGCATTTTTTAAAGTACTATTTTACATTAGATTCACATATTGAATTACATATTGAATTTCATAATATTTGATTATAAATATAATTTATTAAGTTTTTATAAAAAGAAAAAGTAATGAAAAGAAAGTGACTTAGAAGGTATGCGGCAGAGATCACGATACTGAATATGAGACTTCTAATACTCAACATAATAGGTCTGATGCTCATTAAACGTTCATTATTGCTCATTCAGAAGAAACGGTGACTTTCATCTCAATAACCAAGGTTTGATGCTCAATTAAAATGTCATGATGTTCAACTAACAAAGCAACTAACAAATTCACTAATACTCATTTTGTAAGTTATGTATGCTCATCTGGTACTGATCTTATGCTCATTTTGTAAATGTCATATCAATGTCATAAATATAATGTAGTAAGTTTTTATGAAAGACAAAATAACAACAAAGAAAGTGAATTAGAAATTATGAAGCAGAGATCACGATTCTAAATATTGGACTCCTAATACTCAATATAATAGGTCTGCTGCTCATTAAAGGTTCATTAGTGCTCATTTACCAGAAACGGTGATTTTATCTCGATAGTGGAGGTTTGATGTTCAATGAAAATGTGATGATGTTCAACTAACAACTTACGATTTAATAACAACAAAGAAAGTGAATTAGAAAATATGAAGCAGAGATCACAATTCTAAATATTAGACTCCTAATACTCAACATAATAGGTCTGTTGCTCACTAAAAGTTCAGTAGTGCTCATTTTCTGAACCATCTTTCAATTGTTTTATACTAGTACTTTTCTTTAATTCTGAGTCTTTTGTTGTTTTCAATAAAATGTACAACGGGGGTTGGAGTTGTGCAAAGAGCATATGAAAAACTAACTATAGCTAGAGATAATGATAGCTATTTAGTGTCTCACCACTTCTCAAAATATGAGAGCTATGTACTTCGTACAAAATAACAAAAACGAAGAACGGGCTTATTAGAAACATAACAATATATAATGAGCATTAATGAGCATAATGTGCATTAGACCTATTATGAGGATTAAAACACTTTTGATGAGCATCGGGTTTATTAGAAACCTAACAATATATAATAAAATTATAAATACATTTATATAAATTAATTAATAGTACGATTCATAGATTAAATAAATACTTCGTTTGAATTAGTTTTAATATAGTAATAATGAGCAAAAACAAAGAATAGTTAATATTATAATTACTATTAATAAACAATTGTAGTAGGGAGTATGAAAACATGTAGGCTAAGTAAGAAAAAAGGACGGATATTTTCAAAGAGACAAGCAGCCGAGATGGATGGAGTGTTGCAGGCTATATTTGAAGTCTAGGGATCGAATCCCGCTGGCGTTTATTCTTTTTTCCTGAAGGAATCCAGTTCCCAAGTCCGGATTTGGTCCTAAAAACAAGTTTAGCTATTTTAAAAAACCGGATGTACGTACACCCGGGTGTACAATATAGGCACTCCATTTCTAGTGAGTGGGATTCATTATATATGCATTATTCCAAATGGCATTGTATTTTTGTTGACATGTAAATGGTTATTTCTGATTCATTGTGTTTATTCATAAGAATTTTTTTTGTATCTTATCAAATAATCCTTCCATTTGTATTCTCTCATAAGCTATATAGTTATTTTGTACTTTCCATAGAAAATCAACTATTATTAATACTTTTTTGATCTATTTCCGTATATTAAGTTTTTCAGTTTGGATGACATCAGAGAGGCGGGTAACACAAACTTTAATTTCCAGTCGGACTTTGATGTATCAAGTTGACGTATTAGAAAATAATTTTCGAATTTTATTTAATGCGTAGTATTAATCAATCAAGTATAATGCATAATATCAGGCATCATAAACATGTTAATGGCAAAGTATGATATATACTAATGTACATAGTTTTTAATAATACATCAGTAAAATACTCTAGAAACTTATTGTGATGACATTTTTGATGTATGAACTCTAAACAATGGAACTCCCCAAACGAAGGAGAAACTCGATCAATTACTAAAATTTATAAAACTGAATAATGAAAACATACTGTAGTTTACTTTCTCTGTCTTTTTATAATAATAGCAAGTGTTCAATACTATGATGATCAATATGTAATGTGTAATAGCATACAGCTGCGCGCGCTATACGGAATTTTTATGTTTTTAAATTCTGGTTTTAGAAACACCAAGAAGCCTACATGAACGTGATTTTAATGTTGAGAAGTTCTGAATTTATGTTTGGAGACCATATCAACATGTAATATAACAATAAAAAGTTAAAAATAATTAAATAATTATTATATATGATGACATGGAAAGGTTATGTGGCACATTGTATGCTCTTAAAAAGTTCCTCTTGTGTGTATATATATATATTGATTATATTTAAAATATATTTTATTAATTAAATAAAGAAACAATTATAAGAAAAATTGTTAATATCGTATTTTATATTAACTTCAACCAATACAATAGAAAACTAACTACAACCTTACTTTTTCTTATTCTAACAAAATTCAGCGCGCTAAACCAAAATTTCATGTTGGGTGAAAAGTTGGCTGAAAAGTTGGGTGAAAAGTTTCCAAAAACATGGTCACCAAACAGACTATTAATTTGGCATATTTTAAATTGCACTTCTTCATCTCTTAAGAAATTATCAATTTTTTACTTTTTTTTGCCACCATCTTTATGGTTTTCCTATTTAATTAAAGAATTGTCATTCCTATTAAATCTATCTCATTTGCATGAACTTCAACCACACAATTTTTAATTTTGTATTCTCTGTGTTGGTCAAACTTGATGAAGTTTTAAGAAACGGAGAAAGTATATTTTAGTACCCATTATTTAGTAACATTGAAACTGGTTAAAAGGATTGAATCTAGTGAAATTCGTGAATTTCTAGTTGAACCGGCCCGGCCGACTTCACTAATTTACAGATTGCGGAAATATTACATTTAAAAGTTTTCAAAATCGTAAATAAGGATAAAAACTTATAGAAAATAATAGAATGATCTTCTACAATAATTTCAGCAAATATAATCACACGAGTAACTTAAAACTCACTTGTGTTGATTATTAGTCTCTCTGTCCCATAAAATTTTGAGGAAATTTGACTTTGCACCCCCACTTTTTGGGTGATATTGGATTTTGTACCTCATTGTCTAAAATATTTGACTTTGCACTCCATTCCACTTAAAAACCTTTTGACTTTGCATCCCATTCAGAAACTCTTTTACGCAATGTTATGTGTTGGGGTGCACAGTTAAAGTGTTTTCAAAATGAGATGCAAAGTCTAATATATCACCCAAAAATTGGGGTGCAAAGTAAAAAAAAATCCGCTTTGACTTGGATCGGAGTTTAATAAAGTGGGAATAAAGTGGAAGTGTATGGTTGTGGTTGAGTAAGAAAAGGGTAAATGGATATTAATCACACAAAACTTTAATTTTTAAAAAGTGAAATGTGAAGAATTTTATGGGACATTCCAAAATTGTAAATGGGAAGAGTTTTATGCGACAAAGAAAATATACTTTATCCATCTCACAAAACTTGGTCAAATTTTCTCTTTTGACTGTCTCAAAAAACTTTCTCATTTCCATTTAGAGTAATAAATACTTCCTTTGTCCTTTAAAACTTTGTCCCAAAAACTTTATCAATTTCTCTTTTAAACAACTAATGACCTCTAAAAGACCTTTTTAACATCATATAAATCTTTGTTGCCTCTAATCTTATACGCTCTCAATACATATAAGGCAACACTAGTTTTCTTGGTTCTAAAAGGTATTATCTAGAGCAACTTTTTTAGGGTTGCCTCTAAAAGCTTGATGCAAACACACAGTCATCTTACTCATCCCTAAAAGCTATTATTTGGAGCAACCTTTTTAGGAATTTCTTTTAAAGTTTATTGCAAAAGTATAATCGCCCCTAAAACATCTGCTTCAACAAGTCATATCAATTGTAGAGAGAACAATTTTGGGCAACTAATTTTCTTAGTCTTCTAAAAGGTGAAAATAATTAACAATGCTTCAATTATTTTTGTCTTCAAAGTACCCCTGCACTAAGGTTCACATGAGTGACATCTCCAAACCAGTGCCTTCAACTCCGGTGACTATTCCGATCAATGACGATTGATGAGACCTCTAATTAACGAGAGCACCTTCAACGCCTCTGTCGCTCCCTTCCTCCAACAGAGACAGATGACGGCTCCGTGGATGACGAACGATGGATGAAGCAGCGGACAATAGCTCCATGGACGATAGATGAAGTTTTGTGATTTCCCCTTCTTGTATTTCATCCCTCTATGTAATTGTGAATCAATTGCCTAGGGCTCGTGTGTGGCAATCCAATAAACTGAAGCGGTAACTTTCTAATTATTGGGGTTTCGATGGTGGCGACCTGGCGGCAAAGGATAGAGCTTGAGTGGGGGAAATGGTGGTACGGGTCGTGGCTAGGCTAATCGGGGCTGCGAAGGGGTGGATTGTGGGATGGGTTGGGCTGGTCGGAACTAGAGGTCGGGAGGGTGGCTAGAGATAGGTTAAGGGTTAGGGTTAGGGGTGTTGGGGAGTGGAATGGGGAGGGGCATGGGAAATTGCGGAACCATGTTAAAATTTAAGGGGGGCACAACTTTGGTCTTGGAGTCTTGTGATCTGGTGTGGTGCAGCTGCTTGACTGTTTGCGAGTCGCCGGGGCGTTGGGCGGTTGGCGATGCAGGCTGCGAGACTTCGAGTTGTTGGTCGTTGGGGCGTTGGGCGATTGGCGATGCCAATGCAGCGTTTGAGATGAGCATATCAGACTTACGGGTCAAGGTGTTGATTGGTTTATTTGCCTCTTTTGAGCTGGTGGGCCTTGGCCCAATCAGCCATGAGATGAGTTTTTATTTTTTGATGGCATTCTAAACGACGTCATTCGATGTTTAAAAAACTCCCCAAACCTCAGTCCCTCACCCGCAGTCGTCAATTCAGTTCATCATCCAGTCGCTCGTGTAAAAAACAATCAATCAAACTATTTTGAATTGCTATAGCAGGTTGTTTTTTTTAAGAAAATATTATGACTATTAATAAATCTTAAAAAGTTCTATAAATTTTAAAAATAATAATATAATAATATCAATAGCATAGATGTAAAAAGAGAAGAATAATTTTAAAAAATTAAAATAAAAAATAGAAAATATTATATGTAGAAACCTTTTAAATGAAATAAATAAAGTAAAAACATAAAAAATAGAAAATATTATATGTAATTAAAAATCTATTAAATAGATGTGCAATATGCAAATAATTTCAAAAATAAAAATACCGAATTCGATGTGCTGGATTTTTTCGAAATTTATATCTATATCTCCTGACATTGTAACATATTTTTCGACTTTTTAATATAAAAAACTTGCTATTGCAGGTCCAAAACCGAACAAATGGCCAAATTAATAAATGTTTGAAAGTAGTTGTACTTATTTGATACATATTACTTTTTTTTAATTCAAAGGTTTAAGTGATGTTTTGAAAATAGTGCAAGAGCTTATTTGACTCTTTTTTCAAGCAAAAAGAAATAGAAAGGTCAGGTTAGGGCTAATGAAGTATAGAGAGGTGAGCCATCAAGAATGACCGGATTGGTCCGAAAATATAGAGTAAAGACATAAAAGAAAATTAAATGAAAAAAAAACTAGATGTTCACTAAGCGCCACATAGACAGCCCATACTCAGTTTATGGGAGAACTGAGTGATGAATGGCTAAATAACTTATTTATATGAGCATTACTACATGGACTTAATTGCCATTTCGATAAAGCACGAAGACTTATGTGATATTTTTCCCTTAAAAATATTTTTCACCTTTTGGTTTTTAAAAACTGAAATGAGGACTGTTAAACTGCTTTTCACTTTTGATTTTGGAAGGGTGCTATACACTGCTTTTCACTTTTTCTATTATACAAAAAACACTTATTTTTTCCCAAACATTACAAACTTTCACTTTAATTTTTCAAAAATAATTTTTCTCAAACACTACCAACTTTTACTATTAAGCATATATGATGTCACTTTTTGGCAATAAATTCTTTCATTTTAAGATATTAAAAACTGATATGAAAATTGAAAACACCAAATAAATGATATTTGCAAATATGGTCACTTATTTGATGTTCAAATGTTATTTTTTATGAGTTAAATGATTCTATTTTAATGAAAATTGTTTTGTATGACTTTTGTTATATATTCAAATAGTTATTATTATTAAAAGTTTTTTCGAAACATTAAAATTATTTTACCATATATATACTACGTATGTGTAAGTTTGGAAATAATCAAGTCGATCAACTTTTTTAATTTTAGAAATAGAGTTTGAATAGAAATTAAGATTGGAAAATCATACGACGTATTATGATAAGGAGACTCACGTACTATATACTAGTACTAGTATACCATTGGGGATTTAGGATGTTTTCTTTTGGACTGTTTTCAGTCCCAGACCAGACCAGACCAGACTTAAACAGACCAGACCAGACCAGACCAGACTTAAACAGACCAGACCAGACTTAAACAGACCAGACCAGACCAGACTTAAACAGACCAGACCAGACCAGACCAGACTTCCGTAGTTATAAAATACACAGAGACCGGACGTTTACCAGACCAGACCAGACCAGTTCAGACCAGACCAGACCAGACCAGACTTAAACAGACCAGACCAGACCAGACTTAAACAGACCAGACCAGACCAGACCAGCAAATTTCAGTCCAAAAGAAAACATCCTTAGGATGAGAGTACCTTATTAGGAAAATTAGCGATGACCTGTTTAATGTAATATACTATGCATATTGCGTACAAAACCCTAGCATATACGGAGGATTTGATATTTAAGCTTCTGCCCAGCTCCCACCGTCAATCGCCATTCGCTGCTAAAAGGTAGATTCCTCATACAAGAAAAAAGACATGGAATTTTCTCTAGATGTTGCTTTGCTTGAGTTGCAAAAGTCATGCAAAAACAAATCTCCGGAAAACCTTACGATATCACCCTTCGGTATCTCAGTAATACTCCACATGATTGCCAACGGAGCAGCAGGGCCTACCTTGGATGAACTGCTTCACTTTCTCCGGGTAGAAAAGATTGAGGATTTGGATTTAAAGGCCCCAAAGCTAATGCAGATCGCCAAATCTTCCAGCAATCTCGAAACGAATGATGGCCCAGTAATCTGCAATTTTAATGCTGTTCTTGTGAGTCACAAACGTACTCTCAAAGAAAGTCACCGAGAATTTCTGGAAAATATGTTTCATGCCAAAGTCAAGTATGTTGATTTTTCTCGCAAGGTATGTAACAATTAATTAAGCTATGGTAGTGACTAGTGATAGATCTTCCTTTTATATATGCCATACTAAAACTTATAGATCGACGGTGTTTTATTGAGATTATTCTGGCATTCATTAGGGTCTGCTTCATAGTAGTTACGTTTTTTTATTGTTTGAATGTTCTTCGTCACCATTATAAACAAGTCTTGTTTTCCTTATAAACATTATTTAATACGTAGTACTTGGGAATTGGGATTCAAAATATACAAGTACATTTGAAGATTAAAATTTAATTTGTAGTTAGTCATTGATGTCTTTATCACCTTTCTATAAGTTTAGTAAGAAAAATTTGCAATTTTTGTTCTGTAGCTTTAGGTCATTTTCAGTACTAGTCCCGGAGTTTTAGCCATTTGCAAATTTGATTCTATAACTAATTAATATTTACAATTTAATTGAAGGACTTCCCCACTTAAAAGTACACTTTTCAGATATAGAATGCACAATAAGCTAGATGTCGTCAACGTCGGATTTTGGTGGAAAAGTCCTTGACTTGTAAAAATTTATTAGTTACAGGACTAAATTTGCAAGTGATTAAAGTTACAGGACCAATAACAATTACCGTCAAAAGTTAGAAAACTAAAATTGCAAATCTCTGGTTTAGTAATTATATATAAGTAGTTCAGTTTATTGTTCTATTATCCAGTTTTTCAATTCTTCGAAACTTACATATATGTTCACCCTTATTCTTGGAATTACTGCCTCCGAGATTACTTCTTCCGTTGAAGAGGATATTGGAGACCTCTCATCTACCTGTGTTATAGCAATACAATAAAAAATTACTATTGCAATTACGAAGTGGTAGTTGTGTGTTTTACTATTCATTTGAGATAAGTAACATAGTGTAATAGGATTTCCTTTTGACAAAAGGAAAAAAAACGAAATAAGGCAATACATATTTTTACCCTTGTTATGGGAACTTCTTCCATAACTTCTTCAATATCAGGCATTGGAAGCATCTCTTCAATCTGTAATTATAATAATCCAAAAATTTAATAGAACAATTAAATAATGGTAGTTGTATATTTTAAAATTTATTTGAGTTAAGAATACGCCGGAGTTGAATAAAGAACTAAGATGTAATTAGAAAATGAAGAAACTAAGATAACAAGAAATAAAGAAAAGCTTGCACAGTAACAAAAGTAAAAATTCTTATATTAATTACCCCAGGATTCCGATTATTGGGTTGAACATTTTGCTGGCCATAAAGAGTACGGGAAATCATATCCATTATCCATCGCACCTGTAGAGATCAAGTTTAATTCTTAGAAAGAACTTCATTGTTATAGTGATTAATTGTGAAGGTGTGTGACTATAGAAATAAATTAGGTAAAAGTAAACTATTAATTATACATTCAAAGAGTAATACTCCAGCCAGAAATGTGGTGATTCGCAACAGTAGAGCCATTTCCTTCTTCAAAAGTTGTAGAAAGAGAATTAGAAAGATGGAATAAAATGAAATTTGTGGATAGATATGTCAACGCAATCTGAGCTGATACCTGAAAAGTGTGATAAATTAGACTGGTTGTGTGCTATCTACCTTCAAGACAAGATGAGAGAAATAAAAAAGAAGTGAAAGAAAACCCAAAGGTGAGGGGATTTCTACTCACCTAATAAGCTACTCCGTACTATATATGTGTGTTGTGTGAGAAAATACATACTTATAATTGAAGTAGTTTATGGAACCTACCACCGTTTCCACTCATATAAGGTATTACGGAGTATTTAAATTGTTACACCGGCCACCATCATTACTTATTTAAATTTTAGAGGTTAAAGGACCGTGGCTCATAAAAAGATGTTCCGACTCAATATATAGAGTACCCGACCGTGTTTCCACTTTGACTTTTTAAATCTTTTTTGTTTGTGCAAATTACCCGCAAGGTCCACATTTATACTTACTATATCATTTATGTCTACCAACATAAAACTTTTCATATTTAACTTTTATTTTTTCACTTTGTATTCTTTATTTCAAAAAGAGACTAAACGCTTAGCCTAATCGACATCGACTCTGCATCGGTCTTCATCTTCCCGAAGCTTCAGCCCGTCTTCCACATTTACCTATCAATCTTCTCATTCCTCAACATCCTCTCTCAGCGACTTCACCTCAACCGCTACACTGCCGCTCTCTCAATCCGTCTATCTCCAATCTGCAATTCGATTGTGGAACAGATGCAATGGTTACAACATCTATTTTGTTCTTCTTCACCATCATCTGCTTTGCAAATCTTCAATCGGCTCTTATCAACCGTCCATTGTCGTCGCCTGCCTAGTCCTCCACCGGCGTGACACCTCCTATGGCCCGCCGTGTGCCGCAGGCCCGCAGCTGGGCAATTGCTTTCTAATATGTTGTTTGCTTCGTACTTCGTTACTCGACTGTAGAGACTTCAATCCAGGTACGTTTTGTTCTAGTTTCACCTTTATTTTTTAATTTGTTTTCAATTTTTATGTTTCAAGCTTTCAATTCATCATTAGTTTTTGGTTTTGGCCTTAATTTTTGTTTGCTTTGAGCTTTGACAGTAAATAAGAATCTAAGAGTTTCTTATTTTTCTTTTAGATTTTTTGTTGTTGAACTAAAGTAATGTAATTTAATTTCGTATTAGGGTTATCATGAAGCAGAGTAATAAATGTCGATATTGACAAGGAGGAGGCATTCTAAGGTTTATGTGCAATGGTATGTATCCTTTCTTTCTAGCATTTGAAATTTAATTGGGGAACCAGTTAATATTTCGTGTTTCATCAACTTGCAAGTCAGAGCAAACCTGTCAGGGGCTTTGAATGCAATGATTTTCATTTGTAAGGCTATTTCAAGTTGGCAGGTTATCTGCAATGGTATGTATCTTTTGTAATTTCAAGTTGGCAGGTAATGTGCAATCCGTTCTAAATAATTTGTGATGCTGCTTTTCTCATGTTTTTTTTGCTTTCAGGAATGAGGAGTTGAGCACACCTGAGGTAGCCATTAGCTCAGAATCGAAACTTCCTCCAAAATGACCCATCGACTTATATTTGGTTTTATAGTATTAGGAATTATGACTAGTAGTAGGTTCAGGTATTAATGATATGGTAGAAGAAATTGTTTGTTTCAATTTATATAAAATAATTGATATTGGAAGTGGCAGGAAGGGATGTTTTTGTCATGGCTAGGGATTGCAAATCTGCAGAGGAAGGAGGAGGATGAATGTTTTGCAGAATTGCAGATTTCAGTATTCCACCCTTGCACTGGATCAAGCTTGTAAGTTTATCTACTTTACGTCTTATGATATTTTATTAGGCTGTTGAGAAAAATCTTTACTATATCTTGCAATATGCAAAATGTAGCCTCCAAATCGATATTGAAAATTATTAAGATGCAAATACACTTCTTAGACACCTGTATCATTCATATAATCTCAATCACTATCTTATGTTTTGTTTGATTTATTGATTGTTCGTTGCTAGTAATTTGATCTGCGTTTATGTGATGTTGTGCAGGTTTCGGGAAGTGAAGTCTACTAATGTTAGAGCAGTTTGAGTACAGAAAGATTAAACAATCGTGTTGCTATTACTTGCTTCCTTTTTCAATTCACTTGTAGATGTACGAAAAACAAGTTTATTTATATCTTTTTTAACATTGTTATTCTTTCAAAAAAACATTGTTATATTATAATTGAAATTCTGGTATTAGTGTCTATTTCTTCATTGGATACAATAATATGTTACTCCGTACTTTTATTTTTATTTTTGTTGCTTTTTGTTTCATCGTGTAGCTTTTTGTTGCATCTCATGTGTTGCTTTTTGTTATATCATGTTGCTTTTTGTTTAATATTTTGAACATTTAGTTTTTTTCTTCATGTTTACGTATATTTCAATTTTTAGTTTTTTTTTGTCTACCATAACTCTGTATAAATATGTGTATTTTTGCGTGCCACAAACACCTTAAATAATAATATTTATTTCTGAAATAAATAACAATAAGAAACAAGAATAAACAATCAGAAACAAAAAATTTAAAGTAATCAACAATAATAAACAATATGCAACAAAAAGGGTGACAATGAAATAATAATAACAATAATTGAATCTTGTAACTATTTAAAAGAAAATATTAAATTAAAATGTATACATACTCTTTTTTTTTTCATTTTTTACTTCGTTTAAACATTTTTATTATTTTAAATTTCATTCCAACTTTTTATATTTTAAACGTTTTTTAGTATATTTTTCCCTTCATTTTATAAAATTAAAATATCTTATTTTCTATTTCTTTTTATTGGTAAAGTAAAATTTGAACTCTTTGGATGTTTTCAAATTTTATATAGTTATTTGAATTTCTTGGATTCTTTCTTGTATTGTATATATTCTGATGTTAAAAAATTACTCTCACAAAAATTTCTATCTACTTTTGATATTTTATACTAGTAATTACAAAAAAACGGGCATGAAAAAGTATCAACAAAAAGCAACATAAAGCAACTATTTGCAACAAATATAATAATATGATGATATTAACAAAAAATATGATATCTCTTTTGAATGATGGAAAAAACTATTTCTATTTTTTCACTTTTTTAGATGGCAATTTTGCCTAAATTCTTTTCTATTTTTAAGTTTTAACATCCTCATTGTTTGTGTTTTGTCTTTTTGTTTAATTCGTTTACATGTTTTTTAGTTGTACTGAACTTTTCCAATTTTTAAAATTTATTTTTAATATTTAATTTACATTCTTTTCAATATTGAGATATTTTTTAATATAAAATTTTATTTTATTTTCTTAAATTTTGTCAATTTTGATCTTTGTTTTAACTTTTACAGGTTTATATGTATTCTACATTAAAACAAATTAACTGTTTTTTGTACGGAGTATAATTCATTGAGAAAACATACTTTCTATTCTTTATTACAACCTTTCCCAATATTTACCTTTTCAACATTGTTTTGATCTTTATTTTTCTAAATTTTATACAGAGTATATAAGTTTTTAAACATTTTTTGTGATTCAGATATAAATTTATATTTTTTTCTTAATTTTTTTAAATTTAATTGCATCTTTTCAAGTTTGAGACTTTTTATTTTTTTTTTATTTTTTAATTCGATTATTTACTTTTGGTTTTTAAACTTTTATTACTTCTTGTATTTGGTTTTATCTTTTTGAATTTTTATGATTTTGACATTTCTGCTTTGTAGTTTTGATTTAAAAGCAAAAAGATTGTAATTAGTGTTCTTTCCATTTTTCTATTGCTTTGTAATTTAGTTGACTATTCTTCCATTAAGCTAAGTTCTTATCTTTAGTTACATACTTACATTACTCACGTACGCTTATGTACTCCTGGGCCCAACAACAGGGAGTGAGGGACGAAGGCTTCCCGTAAGAGTGCTACAGAGCCTACTGTCTATTTGTGAAAAGAGAAGTCTAATTGGTCTGCCTTTGAAATATAAAATTAAAACTGAAAAGGGTGATATTATTTATACTCTTTCGACCGTTTGCGAAAAAATCCCTTTTTGTTTTGTATACGATTTATCAAATAGAACCCGCCACTATGCGGACCGGACAGGTGAACCGGGGGGATTGTCAGGGACTGGCTCGGGCTTAACGTCCTTTGAAAGCGGCCCTTCTTGGCCGGGTCCGGTCCAGACCCATTTTTTTTCATTTTTTTTTGTGTGAGGCGGGTTGAGCTGGGTGTTTTGGAGGGTTAGGGGGATGGGATTGGGGGGTTGGAAGTAATTAAAAAAGCTAATAAAAATTAATACAGCTCGACCCGAACTCGGTCCGGTCCCGGTGGATCCCGGGTCGGTTCCGGCCCTTTCCCCACAATAAACAACCCTGGTTTGGACAGCCCCGGAGCCCGGCCCGGCCCGGAACCGGTCCATGCTAAGGCAGGGCTAGACGGGTAGTGCAAGACTCAGACTCACCCCATGACTTTACTAGTCGAACTCGACTCACACCGTGACTCGCATGGGTCAATACTAGTGGGTCCCTGTCCGGTCGTCCCATGTGGGGCGGGTCCGCCCCGCTCACCATAACCTATTTTCTATTTGACCATTATTTTGCTTTTCATAGTATTTCCTAGTATTTCATTTACCTTTATACATATTTTTTTCTTAAAATCACAAAAACCCGAGACTATTGGTGGGAGTATCTCATCCGAAAGGGAATTCGCCACGATTCGTGGTGCGTCATCAGAAAGGGGTGCTTCTATGATTTTATATGCGCTGTTAGGGAATTTGAATAATGGCACCACACCCTATTGAGATTGAATTGGTACATATGTCATCACGAAAAAAAAGCTGGTTTTTTGCTAGCTTGTCAAATTGTGGCAATTCTCTGATTTCTAGCTCATTTCTTATAAAGGTTAAATTTCATCAGTTATCCGAAGTTACTTTTACCAAGCAACTTTGTCCATACATACTCATATATAGTCATAAATACACCATATACACAATACACTATATAGTACATACTCCGTAGTATAATATACGTAGTATTAATATTACCCGGTGTAAAAACATACGGAGTAATATTTGGAGAGACACTTGCACATCTACTATAAAATATAAGCGGCCAAGGGAGTTAGATGGTCGTTTTTCCGTGTGAACAGTCCTTTGCCGATTAACGCCGTTTGCCCCTTCCCCCAATGAAGTGAACCGACAATTCTTTCCCGATTCATTCGCTGCTTCTTAGGCGAGAAGCTTTCCCCAAAAATTGATGTTATACTCTATGCCTGCGCCCATCTCTTTCGTTCACTCGACGCCTGTGCGGCAGCCATGCCGCCGGCGGAGGGAAACGGATCTGTGGCCACCCAGTTGAAGACAACTTATGCATCGGCGGTAAGGGACCCCACCCCAGGCCAACGATTGTGAGTACGTTTCCCTCTCTGGTCACCCCCCTTCCCCCGATTCAGAAAGCCTTCGAAGCTGTACGTTTCGCACATCCATATTCAGTAGGCTTGCTTAAATCGAATTTCCTTTTGCTTAATTTCGAATCGGATATCGATTTTCGTAGATTGTGGGAAAAAACCACCTGGGATTTTTATGGGTTCAAGATGGTGGTCACCAGATGGACTTCGTCCTTCTCGGGCGACAACGACTTACCCTTTGCTCCCGTTTGGATTGCCCTTGAAGGGCTTCCAGTTCACCTGCACGATGTTAGGGCCTTAAACACTGTTTCTAACCTTCTGGGGAAACCTATTCGAATAGATACTCCTACTGCCAGGTTCTGCAGTCCTTTTACTGCTCGTATGTGCATTGAAATTGACATTTCCCAAAAGATTCCGGAAAACATCTGGATTGCAAATGGGTCGAATGGCTATTTCCAATCCATTTTGTATGAAAGATTGCAGGTATACTGCCTTATCTGTTCTCGATTTGGTCACTCACTCTCAGAATGTCCCATAAATGACAAATCCTCTTTTGGGAATGGGGATTCTCTCATTCCCCCCCAAAAAAAGGTGATCTTGGACACTTCAACTACTACTGAAATTTGTGATGATCTAAATGTTTTAACAAACTGTGATGCTCCAATTGTTGCTGTAACCCCTGTGGTTACAATAGTAAGTAATGCCCCTGTTATTAAATGTGATGTTTTCCCCTGTGCTGATATTGGTTACGCTGCTGCCCCTCATATTTCTTTGGTTGCTTCAGAACAACAAGACCCCCCCCCCCCCGTGATACTGATGTTTACATTGATGCTTCCGGTTCACTAGGTGAAGCCCCTGTAATTGAAGGTTTTGAATACCTTGCTAACTCAGCTGATGCAGCAGAAGCTGTTGTCCGTTTAGATGCTCGTGAGGCATGTACTTCTGGCAACACTGCCAGTAATAGAATACTTGATGCTCAGTTACTTGTCCCTATGATTTTTGAGGTTCCTGTGGATGCACAGGTTTACACACCTGCTGATAACCAGGTTCCTGGGTCTCCTACTGCCCCCTGTGAACTTTAAGTCTCAGTCTGAAGCTCCGGTCATTTTTGAGACCCCTGTTGGCCCCATTAATGACCCAATAACTGACCTGGAAGCATTTGACCGAGAGGAACCACCGGTGGCTACTTGTAAAAAGGTGGTAACCGAGGGAGTTCAAACTATACGTGCAGGCCCTGATCTTGGAATCCCGAATGATGCTCAATTTGGAAATGAAGAATAACTTTCTGATCCATCTTTAGCAATTAACATTGTTGATACTACACTTCATATAATGATGATAATATATCTGAGGACACCCCCTTTATTACTAATTTTTTACATTTCATATAATAAATTGTTTACATTTCATGTTGGCACCATCATATTCCAACATGAAAAGTGGAATAATTTTATTTTTTATCTTGGAAAAATATCCTATCCACTCTTGCCTTGAACTGAATTTAATTAATTTAACCCATGTCTTCTCCATGTCATGTTTAGTTCAAATTCAACATGTCCATGTTCTAAATACTGGCTTTGGGGGCCTGTTCACACTAGAAATAGAAATATACTAAATAGAAGTACCAAAGTACAGGTGAGCTCGATATATAATAATAGAAGTGTTCTGGTAGGAATTAGCACTATAATATGTGTCTTGATTATAACTCCAGGGATTTGACACTTTTTTTTGGTTCACTGTGGGCTGCTTAGAATTGTTCCTTGGTATTGATTTATTTAAAATCGTACTTCTTGTTAACTAATTTGGAATAAGGCTGATGAAAAAGCTTAATCAAAGTAATTCCGTAAAACTCTTGGTTATTTCATATAT